GATTATGTGACGGAAAAGGTTTACCACGCTCTCTTGAGCGGGGCGATTCCATTGTATTGGGGCGCTCCGAACGTTGAGGATTTTCTTCCGTCAGGCCGGGGCAGCATTGTGGAACTGGAACGGCTCCTTCCCGGGCAATTGGGTGACGATGCGAGAGCGACGGCGAATGCGAAAGAAGCGTTTCGCGGGTTTGGTGATAAACTGCAGCGGCTGGAAGAAGACGAGGCGTCCGTTCGGCGGCTGCTTCGGTGGCGTCGTGCCAAACGGGCGGCGGAGTGGGGAAATAGTTTTCTTGGGAATTTATATCACCCAGACCCGTTTTGCGCCGTCTGCGCGGAGGCCCGCCTCAAGCGGAGCAAGGACGGAAAGGAGCAGTAAACCCAGCCCGTCGGTGCCGCGCCGCACCGTGCAAAGCTTTTTTGTCGCGATTGCTGCTGTGGGCGGCCCTTTTTGTTACTTTTCTTGCTTTCGGCAGCTCCCGCTCATACGCCAACGGCGGCGCCGAACAGGAGAGCGGAGGCAGGAGCATTCCGCACGCGCGCCTGCTTTTTATTTTTGTTCCTCCGCATTGTCTGCGCATCTTTGTTTTTCTTTCACTTTTTCCCCCCTCTTTCTTTTCTGCGTCCTCGGGCTTCCTTGGGAGAAAAGTGTTATAGCGAATGGGCGGTGCATGCCTGCCGGCCTCGGGGCGGGGGCGCGCGGGCGTGGTGGACGGAGGGCGTGGGGGAGAAGGGCGGGGAACAACGGAAAGTCTCCCCCCGGGGCTCCTGTGCTGGAACGCCGTGCGGAGGTCCGCGGAAAAGACGGCGGCAGCGGGCCGCAGGCCTCCATACGGGGACGCGTTTCTGGCGACGATGGGGGCCGGCGTCTCGCGGACGAGCGGGGAGCCGGCCGGGCGCGGCGCGGTTGTGGCGCTGCTTCTCCCACGCGCCGAGGAGCACCACGAGGCTCGCGCCGTGTTTGCCTCGTATTTCGCGGCGGCCGAAGGACAGCGGACGAGGCGGGCAGGCGAGAACGCGCTAGGAAGACGCCGGGGCGCGCGTGTGTGATTGTGGATTCGCTTCTGCCACTCCGCCTCGGGTCTCCGTGGCTGTTTTTTTTTTTTTTTTTTCGGGGCGCGTCCCGCCTGCGCTTCCCACTCTCTCCCCGTTTTATCTTTTTTTTTTTTGATTACAGGAAGGGCAGGGTCCGCCCGCCAACTTCGCAGCACCCGAAGCCGCGCGCCGGGCGACGAAACCCGACATTCAAAGATACCATCGGCAAGGCGTCGCCAGAGTGAGGCCGGCGGCGTTCCCCCGCAACCCCGCGGACAAGGGCGGGGTTCTGTCCCACATCCCCGCTCAGCAGCGCCACGCCAATAAAGACTCCATGTGGGGAAGTTGTTTGCTCTTTTTTTCCCCTGGCGATGCGGGGTGCGGGGTCCTGACGCTGCGCTGGGGCGGTCGCGCGTCAGGTCGCGTGGGGAAAACGCGGGATGCCAGCCGGACGGTGACGTCGCACAATCCAGGCGCCGCGGCGCCTCGCTCCATGCGGTCACGACGCAGCGCGCCATTTCTCCAATAGATCTTATCCTTCGTCCATCCCGCTAAGATGCTTCTGTTCGTGATGGGCCTTAGAACACAATAGAAGAAAACAAGCAATGCAGTGGTACTGCGACAGCGCCAAACACAATGATTCCCTCATACCGGGGCAATTCTCCAATTATGCCTCGTATGCACACACAATCAACATACCATATGAAAACCACCCAATGTTTTTCACCAGAAACCAAACAACCCCACTCCCTCCCTAATTTTCTTCTGTCACTGTTATGTTCGATAGCGTTGGGCATTTTTGGCATTTGTGTGCCTTACTGCCGTCTGGTGCTGGCGCACCCGCACCGCACGCACACACACAAGTATCCAAAAATACATAAATCCCACAATATTTTTTCACCAAAAGTCAAAACTGCCCCTTTCCCTCCCTAATTTGTTTTCCTATTTCGGTGGTTATTCCTCACTTCGGTGAGCTTCGTCTCTTCAAAAGTCTCCGGATGGTATTGACACTTGGTACTGGCGCACCTTTTCCTTCCAAAACGCCGCAAATTTTTGGTTTTCCTTCTTGCTCACATTATCGGAATTAACAACATCACATCTCTGCCAGTCATTCAACGGCGTGCTGTCCGCGTGCTGCACATAAATAATCTCCCACGACATGTCTCGGGATAATTTCTTCCAGCAATTAAAATATGCCGCCAGGCACTCAGTGAACTGCCGCACAGTGCTGGCGGTGGTGTGGTGCCCACCCGCCGTAGCCATCCGCAGCCCAACCAGCGTCATGGGATTTGTGTCCGCAAAGAAAAAGCCGTCCACAAGCGGAAATTTCTCGACCCCCGGTATGTACAGCAGCCGGTGGTTTATACAAGTCTTCTTGTCAATGTGTTCCACCGACGGCAAAAAATAGTGGCTGGTGGGGCCCTCCTGTGAGTACACTTCCGGCGCACAGCGGTGTGACTGACGTCGTGCTGGTGGCCTCAGCTCCTTCAGTTTACGTCTTATTGCAGCCATGAAGGCCACATTCAAAAATGCAAACATGACACACTTCCCAAAATTTGCGTGCATGAGATAATCCCTGATCCTCAATACAAATAAGTTAAACTCAGCCTGCGTCATTAACGTTTTCAACTTGCACAATATTTTACTTGCGAGGTGGTCAGTTATCGGTGCATTGAAGGGCGACTCGCCATTGCGCTCTCCTCGTACTCGGACAATCCTCGCAAGATATTCAAGCACACTATTACCCTCCCACAGTTTGGAATTTCCAAAAGCAAAGTAACTCCGAATTTCCCAAGAGTCCGTCCAATCCACAAGGCTGTGGCACTTTGCAATCCAATTTTTATAACGTTCCCTCATCAAAGATGTGGCGAAGAATCGGTCCCATTTTGTCCATGCGACCCTTCACCTCTCGCCAGTATTCCGCTTGCTGCTGCGGAGGTTGATTGCGCTTCATCCAAATGCACATTGCCTTCACGTCACTCTCATCAGGGCAATTCATTATGATTCGTACGGCTCTCTTTTCACTCGCCCAGTGTATGTAACTTGTTGTCTCTGGCGTTGCCACCACAAGCATGCCCCAGCCTCCGGGAGGCAAAAAAGGAGACGGAATATCTAACCTGTATACCACGTCGTAGATAATATACCCCTTCATCCCGCGCCGAGACAGTTCCTTCACAGCTTTTATCATTATGGACTTATCCGTGTAGCTTGTCGCCGTCTCGGTGGTCTTGTCAAACACGTATGCCTCACGTCCATAAATAAAGAACACAACCACAGGGAGTAGCTCCGCATCGTAGTGCAGCAGTTGGTAGAGGAGGTACGAACCGGCAGCCATCGACTTCCCGATACCGGGTGTCCCAATCAACAAACGCGGATGAGGCGTAAAGTGGTCCTCAGGACGACTGCTGAACAACTCGGTGAGATCGCCCTTGACGATCTGCCACACTCGATCCACCTCACAGTTCACATAGCAGTCGGTACTTGCTTTCCTGCCAAAGAACTGCCATTTCTCGCCAAAGGTAAGCACCATCAGCCTGAGGCGTGGTGCACTGGATTGCTCCACACCGTCATCCTTTTCAAGGGTTCGGCCAACTGCCTTGTACGTCCATGGCTGCGGTGGTTTCCCCTCATGCACCTCCATTCCCGTCCCCTCGCCGCCAGGAACTTCCATGACATGATGCCACCTCGCATTGTACACAGACTTGTAGTCTTCCCGCCGCGTGTAACCTGCCACCCGACCGTCAAGAGCCCACATTAATCGCCGCACCTCCTCCACTCTTTCGCGAGTCGCAGCGGGTTGATCTGTGTCACCCTCAGACTCCGGCCTCGCTCTCCTCCAAATATCTCCCTGCGGCACAGCAGACGCTTGATTTCCAGGCATTGCTTCCTTCCGTTCTTTTAGTTGGATTGAGTTAAAGCTGAACAATAACCACCAAACAGGGGAATAAGAGAGAGATGGGGTAACTAGGCACAGACATGACGGGCAGCCACAGCAAGAGAGTCATCCACACAGTGTGCGACGCACACCACATGCACGAGGGCCGCCGCAACGACGGCGCGCGGGTGCCATCCACCCAGCACAGTGTGTTGGTGAGAGCAAACAATAATAACAACGTGGTGTGCACGGAGGGTTCGCCCACGCATCCCGCTCGCTACGGTCCGCACCCCTGTGGCGCCGCCGACACCGCACACACTCTGCAAGAGGAAGTGGGCATATCGTCACGGACACACAAAAACACACACAAAAGTGGGAAGAGAATTCGGTGCAGCCACGGCCACACGCAGACACCCAAAATCACACACGCCACAACAGCGGCGCATCATGGTAAGTTCCAACACAACAGAAAGGAGTGCAATTGCATGCTTTATGGAAAATCCCCGCAATTCGCGCGGCAAAAAAGAGCCATGACACTCCCTTTCTTACTGCACTCGCCATTCATATTCCCAATGCGTAACCCTTCAGATATTGCCCCGCCATGGTGAAAACAACTGCCTCGTTGTGATGTCATCGCGCAGCCATCCGCCTGAGTAAGAACAAAAGGAAACTCGGGCGTCCGTCCACCTGGAGGGAGGAGGGACTCCACCGCAGTGTCCTTCATGACGCAAACACCCCACATCCAGTGCCCGGTGTCGTGTGCAGACTCCGCGAGGAGGTTGTGGGCACGCCACTGTGCCACATGGTGTGCCTCCTTGGAACGCAACAGCAGGCGTGTTCCCTTCCGCTCTCACTCGTGGCGGTGGCGGCTTCCGCTGCCTCGCTGCGTGCTGGTGGCGTCGATTACGATGCTGCAGAGAGTGAGAGAGAGAGAGAGATACGGAGAGGTCGCCCACTCAATGCAATGGAAACAAAAAACAGTTACTGTGCTCCGCCCATGCAGCCAGGCAGGACGGCAGCGGTGCGTGTCGTGCAAAAGAGAGCACCAACGGGCCTGCATGGGTGTGCATGCAATACATACAATGGGCACATTATGTGTGTGCTTCGTGGGGTGAGGTGAGGACGAGAGTCCATGCAAGGGGACACACACACAGAGAGTGAGTGAAGGACGAGTGTGTGTGCGGGCGGTGCATGGCTCTCTTTCCCTCACTCTCACGCGGCCACCACCGCAGCCGCAGCCGCACACACAACAACAAGAAGAAGAAGCAAAAGAGGGGAGGTGGTGTGGGAGGCCGCGGGGCTGCCGTCATTGTCTTCAATCGCTGCATTATATTTTTTGGCAGTGGATGTAAACGATGTTTGTTTCTCGCTGCCATCCACTTGTTCTTGATGTGGTTCTTCCTCCGGCACCCCGGCATGAACTGCTGAACCATCGTTTGCAATCTCTGCATTGCTTTCGTCAGCGTCATTGGCGGCAGCATCATCCGCAGAAGAAGATGGTGAGGTTGTTTCAGCCTGACCCTCAGTTATTGCATTCTGCCTTGCATCTGTTTGTGGCTCAATGCCTTTTGTGTGCG